CGACTTTCCCCGCAAAGTGCCAACTTCGCCGGGAGGACCGGGCGCGCACCTTCTGGGCGCGGGAGGGGGAAAGCCGGCGGGCATTTGAGACTTTTAGGGAAGAAAATCGGATTGCCCCCGTCCCTTTTCCCCCCCGAGACGAATCCCCATTAAAAAGCAAAAACAACAAGAATAACAGCAAACTTGCTATCATCCAGTCCGCCCTCCACTCCTGGCACCATGAAGGCGGCCGTCGATCTCAAACCGACCCTCACCATCATCAAGACGGAAAAAGTGGATCTGGAGCTTTTTCCCTCCCCGGGTGAGTGGTGACGGCCCAGACGCGCACCCCAGCTCTGGGTCGGGGTCTCCTCCACGTCTCCCCTCACGCCTGGCAATTTCCTTGCAGGCTGTGCGTTTGTGCCTGAGCGGGCGATGCTGGTGGCAGCTGGAGAGAGGCAGGGAGGAGGACTGTTGGTGGCCTGAGACCCTGGTTTGGGGGTGGTATTTATTTTCACAGCTGTGTTTTCGTGAAGAGTGGGAAACAGCTTATAGAATGTCCAGCACCCTATTCCCGCTTCTTCATTTTTTTTTCCAAATGAGCAAGAACCCTCTGGCTTTTTTTTTTTTTCCCTTCACGGTTGGGGAATGGACACCCTCAGAGGACATCCTTCCCCTGACTTTGCATCCCCTAGAAATGGACCTGGGTGGAGGGCCTGGGCCAGCAGAGGGGGAAAGGTGTCTAACTGGCCAGCCCTCCAGGGCTTGTGTTCAAATGTCCTGCTTTCCTGAGCTCCCCTGTCACAGGTTGCTTAGCTTCCTAGCGCCTCTTTTCTGGGTGAAGGACAAGGAGATGGGAGGAGAGTTGAAATGGGCATTTTAATGTCGGGAAACATGCTGAGGCTTTTCATGCAGATTACTCACTTTGGCCATTTTTTCTCATCTGCCCTCTGGGACTACAGCTGCCTTAGAAGAGGGCAAACATCCCAACACCCCGCTTTGGGTCTTTGGTTAGTTACTGAGTGGTGGCGTCCTCCTCTTTGATTTGAAGGACTTTAAAAAAAAAGGGGTGGGAAAAAAATTTCATGTTGCCTTAGGCCCAGTTTTTTTTTTTTTTTTTTTGGTGCTAAGCAGTTTCATGGAGTCTGACACTCCACTATTCCTGGAATAAATGCCGTTTAAGAAGAAAAGATGATTGCTTTTAGGATAAGGCACTGCCAGCTATCCTTTGAGATTTGTGATTTTGGAGGTGAAGTTAGCAAGATACCGAGAAAAGGCGATGCTTTCTGGAAAATAATGAACTGCAATCATGTGTGAGTGTGCATCAGCTTCTCCATTAGTTTAGCTGCTGCTCCCTGTGGCTTACCCTTCCTCGTCTCTGCCAGAAGGATTAGTTGTGCATTTTAACTCTTTCTGAATCTGCTTAAACTTTCGACACAAGCCAAGCCCATGTTTTGTCGCTTGGAGGGTCCTTTATAGATGCCAGTGAAGACAGGGCACGACCTCCCCTCTCAGCCCCCCTAACCCAGTGGTTCTCAACCTTCTGGCCCTTTTAATACAGTTCCTCATGTTGTGACCCGACCGTAAAATGATTTTCGTTGCTACTTCATAACTGTAATGTTGCTACTGTTATGAATCGTCATGTAAATATCTGATATGCAGGATGGTCTTAGGCGACCCCTGTGAAAGGGTCGTTCGACCGCCAAAGGGGTCGCGACCCACAGGTTGAGAACTGCTGCCCTAACCCTCAGCCCCAGTTTGGATCCCTGAGAAGTGTGCAGAGAAGGCTCTAGCTTGTGTGTCCTCAAAGGATGGCAATGGATGGTGAGGGCAATGCTGAGATCCACTAGAACCAGAGACATTTCAGGCATGTAGAGCTACCATTCAAAACTGGCGTCCCTATGACAGTTGCCTTTGGGGGTCCAAGGAAGCCAGAATAAGTTCTGTTAGTCACAGTTGATTCAAACCATAGAGGCAAGAAGTGAAAGGGTAGTGCCCTACGGAGATATACAGGCAACTAGTAGGTCTTTTCCTTTAGAGTGGCTTGTTGATACGCGTGTCCATAGATTGGGTCGTGTGGGAAATATGGTGTAGCTACCAGTATGTCAGTTCACACACCTACAGTGGAGCCCAGGTGCGGGGAACGGAAGAGTCCCTGGCAACCCAAGGTTTAGATCACAGTAAACAGCTGAAGCAACTTTTAAGTAATTAAATGTGACATTTTAGAGAGTTTAAGTATATTATGCTCTTGGTTATGGATAAAAAACAAACCCTGGGTACATATCTTCCCTTCGTTTTTCCATCTGTAAAATGGGTAGAATAAGGCCGAATGTTACAGTCACATCCATTCAAATAAACGTTTTTATAGGCCTCTATTTATTTATTCATTTTTTAAAGGTTAACAGACCATGTTAGCAACCTTCAATACAATAAAATTTCAGCTGGTCAAAGGGATTGCGCAGTTTTCTGCCATTCATTGTAATGAGGCTTGATTTCTGGAACTATCTTGGGGGGGGGGAAGGGAGAAACTTGAAAATACATAGATAGATTATAATAACTAAGTTTTAGTGAATTTAATTCTGGGTGTTTAGAAACATGTGTGAACGTTATACCCATACCCCATAGAGGGGAGAGGGAAAGAGAGGCCCGGAGAAAGTAAGTCACTCACCTGAGAATATCTAGTGAGCTAGCGGCTGAAGTACAATGAATCCCTGTTTCTAACTTCAGCGTCCACTCCCTTGAGCAACACTGCACGTTACCTTTCACAGCTCAGCAAAGAACCTTCAGTTGCGACTTAAATGTGCAGGTGCAAGGATGGAAAACAGGCCGGCCTGGCCGCCTGCTTTGTTGTGGGAGGAGAAGACCCTGGCGAGCGGGGATTTGCTTTGCCCATCAGACCGTACAAGACATGTGTTTAAAGTTTAACTTCTCGCAGCAGCGTGGCTTTGTGTCCACAGCTGTGACTTAAATATTTGTCAGCATGAGTCTATGGGTTGTTTAGTTTCTTACGTGTGGAGACGACTAGTTTGGGATCTTATCTGGTTTAAATAGTTAAACCAGCCCCCCCCTCCGCACCCCGTCCCCGGCTCCCATGGGAGAGCCAGAGACAGGCAGTAGGGAGGCGGGGGACTGGGAAGGGGGGTAGGGACAGGAGTCCTGGATTGTTTGCCTGTGTTTGTGAATAGGACTTGATCAGGAACCTTTATTCTAGAGATGGAGACCTCCCAGCATTTTTGACAGCTTTCGGGCCCAAATTGACATGCCTGTACTTTGAAATGACATTGGAATTGCGTTTTCCTTTGTCGTGGGAAGATAGACCTCATTGATGGCAATGTGCGAGGGCAGGGTTCTCAGATCTTAAATGGGCTAAAACTAACAAAGCTACTGAGGGTCCATGGAGCTCCCTCCCGGTGGGGACCTTGCTGGGGACCGGGTGGAGGCTGGGTGCCAAAGCAAATACATTCCCAAGCTGCTTCAGTTTTTGTCTCCTTCTCGCTCCACCTTCTTGGGGAGGTGAGTGTAATTTCCAGAGAAGAGCGAGAGCCCTAATTTTGGATGTGTGTTGCTTTACAAGAGTAAAAGGTTTGCGCCCTCCCCCTCAATCCGAGCAGAGGATGTCCATCCATTGGGGACCTTAGAGATAGGAAGACACTTTGTCCCTCTCCCTTTCTCTCTCATCAGTCTGTGTATCTTCATCAATGTAGACAAGAAGGAGGCAGAGTTGCCAGGCTACCAGGATCCCCTGTTCATCGTGCTTCAAGACCCTCCCCCCCCATGGACCACCCCATTAGTGACTAAGGACCCCAGTGGCTCAGAGCTGGGGCTCTGGAGCCAACCCGTCTGAGTTGGAATCCCAGCTCTGCTATTTCCCAGCTGTGTGACTTTGGGCAAATGACTGCATCTCTCTGTGCTCCATCCAGCTCCTGCATCCATGAGTGTCGTAATTGTTCTACCTCACGGGTTGATATGAGAATTAAATCTAGGAATGTGTGCAACCTCTTAAAACAGTGCCGGACTCATAATATATTCTCTTGAACAGTTAACTAGAAAACAAGTCAACAAAAAAGGGACCCCGATTGGGGTAGAATTTTCAGGGGCCCTTGAAATGTTGGATAGGGGCTACCGCTGTATTCTGTACCTCTTTAGGTAAGAGAAGAGTACAGTTAAAGAGACCGCCTTCTCCTGCTTAGTGGAGATCTCCAGAGAGCACACACGGAGATGGGTAACTTTCAGAGGGTCTCGAGGTCTCGCCTGTCAGAGCTAAAGGCACAAGGGGTCGGTTAGTTACTTTGGGTGATGGGCTTTGTCAACGCTACCTCAG